GCCTCAGTCCTGGGGGGCTGCAGTGTTACCGGTGCCATCGCGGCAGCGTCTCCCCGGCTGTACACACACAGGTCTGTGCGCTGTCCCGGGCCGCGGCACCGGGATGAGCCCAGTGATGTTGCCGTGCATGGGTCGGTCGGCAGGAGGCGGCACCGAGAAGGGAGGGGCAGTGGGAACGGAGACACATGTGGGGCCATTGCCCCCGGAGCCACGGCGGAGCTGGCCTGCACCGGGGCGAGGAGCAGGGCGCCCCGGGCCCGCGTGGGGAGAGGCTCCCCGGGATGCTGTGTTTGCGTTTCCAGGGCAATGCGCTGCTGGCGAGGCTCTGGCTTCAGGCCTCAGTGTGGCTTTGATGGGTTTAATGAGGCGTGAAAGAGGGCTCCTCCCAGCGAGGCCTGGTGCTAAATGAACCCCGGCTCGCCCATGCAGCAGGCCCGGGCCTGCTGCGTGATGCCGTCCCCCTGGTGGCACCTTTGGTGCCCGGCCCGCACAGCCGGGGGCAGCAGGGCATGGGGCAGGAGCCCCGGCTGTGCCGCGGTGGGGACCCTGCGTTGCCGAGAGCGGAGCCTCTACTAATTCCCCGCCCCGGCCAAGCCAGTAACCCCGGCTCCAGGAGCCAAGAACCTGGCCACGGCCGTTGGGTTTTGATTCCCCAATGCCGCCCGCTCTGAGCTGCAGCAGCGAGGCCCCGGGGCCGCCCCTGGCGGGGGCAGGCAGCTCAGGAGATGGGGCTTTTTCCAGCCATGGCTTCAGCTGTCCTTGCTCCTGCCCTCGGGCCGCTAGTGCCATTGCTGCCTGTTGTCATGGAAACAAGTGCTGTCGAATGGTGCCGGTGCTGGGTTTACAGCCCCTAGGCCGCAGGGCTAAAGCCAAGGCACCAGCCTGCGAGCCACGTGCACGCTGGCCGTGGGGGGAAGGGGGCCACCGCTCTGCCCTTGGCGGGATGAAACCAGCCCGGCTGGCCCCACTGACTGCACAGGTTCCTGTGCACTCGAAGCCATCTGTCTGCGCTGGCCGGGAGCCCGCCAGCAAGGTGCCGTTCCTGACCCTGCCGGGCAGCGCTCCCACCCAGTCACCAGCAGCCCGTCGCATGGGGCCGGCTGGCAGCAGCGAGGCCAGGGGCTCGGCCGCGCTGGTTCATGCCCCCTTGGGCCCAGGCGCAAGGCTCTCCCGGCCTAGCGCTACTTAGCATTGCACGGGCTCGTTCTCAGTGGTGCCAGGGTAAACGCTAATGATCCGACCTTGCCACCCTATAGCATCCTCGGGGACCCTGCAGGGCACCCTGCATTTAGGATACTGGTGTCTCCTCACGCTCACCCTGCTGCGGGCGGACGCCCGGCGTGGCAGAGATAGGCACTCGGTGCTGGGCTCATCTCCCCGCAGCTTGTCCTGTGCCCATGGCAAGCCCCCGGCTGCCGCGCCTGCGGGGAGCCCTGGCACAGCCCCCGGCTGGGTTTGTTGTTGTTGCTGTTAAGCTGCCTTAGCCCTGCTGGGGGGTGGAGGCACCAGCTGGCGAGGGGGAGGTGCGGCTTGCTTGGCACCACTTCTCTGTGAAGATGGGAGCCAGGAGCTATATCTGGGCTCCCGCGCTCGCCTGCCCACTGAATGGCGAGGGGCAGGGCGTAGCCAGCTCACCCAGCCGGGAGGAGGGGCTGCAGCCCGCGTTGGCCACCGTCACGGGCGCGGGGGGTGGGCAAAGCGAGGAGGGGCCCTCCGGAATAGCAGCAGGACATGGCTGCACAGGGTGACTCCCGGGCACTTTCCGTGGGGTCACCCTGGGGTTGGCGACGTGGCCCTGCTTGGCATGGGGGGTTCCGGAGCCTGGAGGGGAGCAGGGCCAGTGCTGGTGATGTACGACACATCCCCTAGCCCTGGCCCTTCCTCACCCCAACTGCCCCCTCTGCATCCTAGGTTCATCGATCCCAAGGCTGGAAGGGACCGTTGTCCTCAGCTGCTCTGACCTCCTGTGTGACCCAGGTCAGGGACCTGCCCCACAGTAATCCGAGAGCAGATCATCTGCCAGCCTTGATTTTTAAATGATCCCCCACGACCCCTGGTGAATTGTTCCAAGGGTTAATTACTCTCACCATTAAAAACGTATCCCTTATTCCAGTCTGAATTTGTCTAGCTTCCACTTCCAGCCACTGAATCCTTTGTACCTTTCTCTGCTAGATTGAGGAGCCCATGATTAAATATTTGTTCGCCATGAAGGCAGGGCCGACGAGACAGGGGGGAAGCTGGCACAAATTACCGGGGCCCGGCGGTCTGGAAGGGGGCCTGGGGCCCGGCTTCCCCCTCACCCCTGTCGCCTTACTGGAGCCTGGCAGTCCGGAAGGGGGCCCGGGGCCCGGCTTCCCCCCCTCTCGTCGGCCCTGTTTAGCCGGTCCGCCCTTGCTAGGGGGGCCCGAAAAAATTTTTTCACCGGGGTCCAAACCTGCTCTCGGTGGCCCTGCATGAAGGTACTGGCAGCTGGTGATCAGATCACCCCTTAACCTGCTCGTTGGTAAGAGAAATAGATCGAGCTCCTTGAGTCTCACTGTCAGGTAGGTTTTCTAACACTTTAATCATTTTCACGGCTCTTCTCTGACCCCTCTTTGATTTGTCAACGTCCTTCCTGAACGATGGGTACCAGAACGGGCCCCAGGATTCCAGCAGCGGTCATGTTAGCTTTTTTGCCACAGCGTCACACCGGGAACTCGTTCAGCTGATTGTCACCCCCCGCCCCCAAATCGAGCTAGAGTCCCCATCCTGTAAGTGTGGCCTGCATTCTTTGGTCCTAGCTGGCTTGTGACGGAGCAGGGAGCGGGCGGATTTGACCTGGGAATGTTGCAGGGGGGTTACACTGGGGATGGGGGACTTCCCTTGAAGGAAGCTACCTGAGCTGTAACCTGAGCCAGGAGGGCGGTGGGAGAGGTGACACCTTCTGCCCGGGAGACTGAACAAAGGAGAGGAGGCGCAGAGGGGATCAGGGAGAGAGCTGCTGGAGGAGGTTTTGTTTTCAGTCTGGGGCTGGGTGGAGGAACGCAGGGCACCCCAAGCTGGGGTCTAAGCTCCCTAAACCGCCCAGAAGGACTTGATTGAGGGGTCCTGGTTGTACCTACACGCTCTGCTTGGGACTGTGTTCCTGTCATCTAATAAACCTTCCGTTTTACTGGCTGACTGAGAGTCACGGTGAATCTCAGGAAGAGGGGTGCAGGGCCCTGACTCCCCCACACTCCGTGACATGGCTACGTTGACATTTGGCCATATTAAAACACACAGTGTTTGCCAGCACCCAGTTTACCAAGTGATCTATCACTCTGTATCAGTGACCTGTCCTCTTAGCTATTTACCACTCCCCAATTTTTGTGTCATCTGCAAACTTTATCAGTGGTGATTTTATGTTTTCTTCCAGGTCGTTGATAAAAATGTTCAATAGTGTAGGGCCAAGAACAGGTACCTGTGGGACTCCAGTGGAAGCGAGCTCCTTAGGCAGCTCTTTTAAAACTCTTGGATGCAAGTTATCTGGACCTGCTGATTTCAAAATGTCTGACTTTCTTAGCTGCTGTTTAACATCCTCCGGAGATGCTAGTGGAATGGAAAGGGAGTTATCTTATGACATGACTACATCATAGGTTTTTCCCGAAATACAGAACAGAAATATTTATTTAACGCTTCTGCCTGTGACGATGCTGCCTGTGGGAACCAGCTGAGGTCACTCAATTAGGGTGAACTGCAAACAGAACGGGGCAGACAAACCCCAAAAGCTGGTGCATCTGAAGAAGTGAGGTTCTTACCCACGAAAGCTTATGCTCCCAATACTTCTGTTAGTCTTAAAGGTGCCACAGGACCCTCTGTTGCTTTTTACAAAAGCTGGTGGTTATTCCAATACTTAGATTTACCAAGCCAGCACAAAACAGCTTCTGTAGTACCTCACTGGTTACTCAGAGTCCAAACAACGCAGTTCCCTTAAAGTGCCCAGCCTCAGGCCTCCATCCAGATACGCCTGTCAGATATGATGCTGATTACTGAAAATCTTCTCTCATCATATAAAAGAAAAGGTTCTTCCAATCCCAAAGGATCAGCCACACACCCAGGTCCAATTATAACTTAGATCTTACCCAAAATACACACATAGCCAATTCTTATTAACTGAGCTAAAATTTATTAAAAAAGAAAAGAGAGAGAGTTGGTTCAAAGATCAATATACAGACAGACTTGAATTCAATTCTCGAGGTCCAGATGCATAGCAGAGATGAGCTTGTAGTTGGCAAAAGTCCTTTTAGAAATAGTCCAGGGGTTATAGTCCAATGTCCGTATTCAGGGTGGCTCCAGTCAGTGACTGGGGATCTCAATCCTTATGGCTTAAGGTTTCCCCCTCTTGAAAC